GTTTGCTGTTCATATCTTGTAATTGGATGAAGTAAACTTTGAGTAATTAACATAAATTTTGATAGTGTTAATTGAAAGCAAAATCTAGGGTACCAGACCATGAAACTGCTGATAAAAAATACGAACATCACACAAGGGTTAAAAAAAAAAAGAGGCAAAAATTAGTTTGTTTCTTTATTCAACTTTTGAACAGTGGTACTCAGTCAGTATATATTCAGTAAATGCAAATTATTTACACGGCAGTGCACTACAGGCATAAATGTAGACCCCTAGATAAAACATTATGGGTCATTCCCACAACCCACAGCTTTACTGTGTTCCAGCAAAGTATCCAATAGCAGTGACAACTCCTCCAAAGTAGCAAGTGGGATTTTTCTGTTTTGAGGACGGCTCCTTTTACCTGTCACTACAGATGGTCTGTTTATGTTTTGGTCAAGAGCCTTTTTTTGGGCAGCTGAAGAGGAGAAGTCTATCTTATGGCCAACCTCTGGCTGTATCTTGGTCATATTACCCAGCAAAACCCAGTATGCAGGTTCATCTGTAACAGTCCTTATGCCACAGATCAACACTGTTGCTTCTACATTAAACAGAAGAGCAGCGACATGGCTGCAGGTCTCTGCAACTCCGGCCTTACAGCTGCAGTGGGCGGCTTCAACCTTCCCTGTGATGCTCACAGTGACCCATGGCTGCAATGCTGGTTCATTCAGTCTTTGAGAGTGCAGGACCTGAAACACACACAGACAAAGTTCATTTAAAGACAAGAACTATGAGCCAAGGCCGACGTAAATGTGTTTTATCTACTTTATCATAAATGTAACAAAGTGTTTAGAAAGTTAGCACATACATGTAATTTTTCATTTCTTTATGTGTCCATCTATAGAACGCTGCATGTTATAGTGTAAATCTGCCTGCAGAAAATGAACCTAAAGTATGTACCGGTAATGCAAGGATGTCATCACTTTAGAGATGGAGAAAGCATAAAGTGACAATTATGAATCCCTTAATATGATAAGGAGATTCTGCAGGTCATTGATCAATATATAAAATTAAAATAAAATGTATTTTTAGTGACACAAGATACAAAACATGGAAGCAAGATGTTTAATTAGGATTATTTATAATAAATATGAATAAATTAGTGCAATTTCTTTAACCATAAAGAATAACAATCCTTCAGGAGAATGTCACATCAATGCACTGAACTCGCTATGTTATCCACCTAACAGCCTCCACATGTTGTCACTGTAATTTCCCCTCATGAATGAATTTATGCTGCACTAATTTGAATGTTTGCAGGGAAATCAAACGCATTTCACTCGCAGTACTCGAGCTGACTTACCTTTGCTTGAATGACGACTTGTACGCGCTGATTCCACAGATAAGGTACGAAAATATGTCAGGCTACGTCAATAGCGGTTGGTCTTCAGGGTTTCTACTCCACGGCCGTATTTCATACGGGTCCACATTTCCAATGCACGCTATTTTCTGCAAGTACCGCTGCTTCGCCTCTGAATGAAATCGGTCTCTATACAGTTCATTCTCTTTTGAGCTGCTTTTAAGCATCTTTCTTGTAGTCGTCGTTCCAACACAGTGTGTTTGGTTTGATTCGTAGACCCCGAAAATGGCGCTGCGCTCCCATAATGCATTGCGGCGTGACGTCAACTCCAAAGCCCTATTCCAGCAGCAGCACAGCTCCCTCTGCCTTTCGCTCGCTGGCTGTCGCATGCCTTCGCCACATACTGCACAGTAGTGATGTGTCAGTCACGAACAAAATGGCTCTTAGAGCCGGCTCCTTATCGCAAGCCGTGGGTTTTTGGTTTTTTTTCTTCCCTTTATCTCACCCTCTCTCACACTTTTTTCCGCTTCACTCCGCATGTGAGCTTTGTGCTTTGCGCTGGGCAGAGGGGGGAGGGGCGGTAGTCACACTGGCAGTAGCACAGGAACAGAGCGGGAGAGAGAGAGCCAGGGACAACAACGTCTAATTTATATTTAATTGTGCTGCGGTTTGCAGTGTTTTGAGTTGTTTCACTTTAAATTGGTTTAAAAGGAAAATGCTGAACATTTAAATAGTTAAAAGTTGAACTGTGACTAGCTGGTTTTTGTATTATATGAATATTTATTACATTTTATGTGGAGTGAATAAATAAAAGTATATTTACGGTGGCCCCTAAAGACAAAGCACGTAAAAACTCCAAAACACGTACAAACTCTGAAGCACGTACGAAACACAACAGAAGTGCTCCAGAATGCTAGGCGCAGTGTTGAGCTTTTGTTACCTAGTGGCTACACAAGCCTGCAAGTACCAACGACAAATGAACATTTTTTTATTATTATTTGAATATATACGAGTGCTTGTGTATAAATACACATATGCTTTCAATTGTGTAATTTAAGTGATCTAGGTAGCTCTGTTTTGGAAGTTCAGTTAACTCTGGGAATGTGCTTTGGAGTTTTTACGTGTTTTGTCTCTAGGGGCCACCGCATATATTTATATATAAACATATATAAATAAAACCACTTTTTTTTACATTAGTAATTCCTTTTGTGCATAATTTTATATTATTGTTAATAATAAATTAATTAAAGCAACAAAACAACATGAAGAGCCGGTTCGGAGCCGAAAGAGCCGGCTCTTTTTAGTGAGCCAAGCCGAAAGAGCCGGTTCTCTAAAAAGAGCCGGAAATCCCATCACTACCGTCTCGCCTGTGTGATTAGCATCCGCTGTGTTTCCCGGGGTTTCCTCTTTGCCCTGTTCCCTTCTCATATTTAGTGTCTGTTTCTTTCTCTGCTCGTCGTTGCGTTCTTTTTGTTATAAAATTTCAGCACTCATCTAGATGACTTCCTCAGTCTCAGCTTTGCATATTGACGGTATGGAGTCAACAATGCCAATGAAACTGACCACATCCCACTGTTGGTGGTGCTGTTTGTGATCTGAGACTGACAAAGTCACTTGGATAAATGATGAAACTTTCTCCCATTGAAAACACAACCATACCTGGATGACTAAGCATGCTTTGAGTTATTATATGTTATAATTGTATTTATTATATGCACACACATTTTTTAAAACCTTCTTCTCATTGATTTTATTTTATTTTATTTTTTTATTGAGGATGAAGACTATGAGCCCCGACGGCCCTCATCCTCTACATGGCGACATGCAGCAGCTCTCACACCCAAGCAGGCCAAAAAGGTGAAAACTGGAAAGGCTAAACCAAAGTTCAAGGAAAATGGGTCTCCTGGGGTGGAAGAACTGTGGAAAGACAGGAATGAGGAGGACAGAAATCCTAACCCCTTCAGGTTTAAGCCAGCAAGGGACCCAGGCCCTACATTTAACACCACAACAGCATGGTCTCCTCTGTCGCTGTTCCAGCTATTCTTTTGTGAGAACGTTGTCAGAACAATTATTGAGAACACAAATGCCAATGCTGCAAAGAAAAGGAGGGCTGGCAGCAAGTTTCCATGGACTGCTCTCACGGTGAAGCAAGTTTACATCTTCTTGGCAATTCTTCTTTACACAGGCCTTGTAAGTGTACACCACAGAGCTGACTATTGGAGAAAAAAATGGCCTTATAACTTGGCCTTATAACTTTCACTTCCCTCGTGACACTATGTCAAGAAACCATTTTGAAGCCATCTTGTGGTCATTGCACCTTAGCAGCCCAAAAGATGACGAGGACAATTAAAATAAAAGAAACACCCCAGAGTACGACCGGCTTTCCAAAATAAAGCCACTCTACAACCAGATTGTGACTGCCTGCAAAGCCCTTTTCCAGCCATATAAAAACATTTGCATCGATGAGAGAATGGTGGCATATAAGGGTAGGATATCAATGAAACAGTTTATGAAGGACAAACCCACAAAGTGGGGATATAAACTGTTTGTCTTGGCTGATTCAGACACTGGCTACACCAGTAAGAGTGAGGTCAGCACAACATATGGGCTTAGCTACTCAGCTGTTATGGATCTTTTACATCTGTCATTGCTTGGGCAGGGCTACATTTTGTATGTGGACAATTTTTACACAAGCCCTACACTCTTCAGTGACCTATATAAAGAAAAAAATGGCTGTTTTGGCACTATTAGAAAAAAACAGACAGGCTTTCCGCGCACGCGCAAAAATTACTTTCCTAAGAAGGCTGAGAGGGGAGATGTGCGCTGGATAAGGAAAGGCGAACTGGTGTTTGTGAAGTGGACTGACACTCGAGAGGTCACAATGTGCTCCACAGTGCACAAGGCCTTCAGCGGGAAGACTGTGAAGCAAAAAGTGAAGGAGGCTGCAGGTTGGACAACAAAGGCTGTACCTGTTCCAGATTGTGTTGTAGACTACAACAAGAACATGGGTGGTGTTGATTTGTCCGATGCTCTGATTGGTTATTACACTGTCCTTCATATAACTATGAAATGGTATAAAACTTTGTTTTATCATTTCTTAGACATTGCTGTTGTTAATAGTTTTCTTTTGCATATGGAGTTATGCAAGAGGCAAGGTAAGGAGCCAATGACACAAAAAATGTTTCGGGAGCAGCTTGCCAAGGAGATGCTGGACTTTGCTCCTGCCTCAGCATTACCACCACCAACACCATTGTCTAACCTCACCTGCATGCCATGTTATTTTGGCAGCAATGCAACAGATCTGAGGAGATATTGCTGGAGGTGCCAGGATGTTGGCATCCTGAGGGTGAAAACCCCAATTTATTGTAGGGCTTACGACGTCGCTCTGTGCCTCACATCAAAAAACAACTGCTTTAAAGACTGAGAGTCTCTTCTGTTTCTGCTGTCTTGCTGACTTTTCCTTGGTTCACAGAATATCTGATAGAGCAGCTGATATTCTTTCTGTCATGGTCTGGGTGAGTGCCAGTGTGTATCTCTTGAGCCGGCAGTTCAACCTCTCGGAGGAGCCACTGTGTTCCTGCTCATTGCTCTCACCTGTGGGTAATTAAGCTGTGGACTTTAAGGCCACCACACTCAACCACTCTTTGCCAGATTCTCAGCTAACTACAGTTAGTGCAGGCCACCACTGTGTTTTGTACACTTTAATAGCAAACTACCTTGTCTCACCTTTTATCGCTCTTTCATGACTACTCACCAGATTACCAGACGCAAATCTCCACCATACTACAGTGGAGAGCTCTACCTGGATAGTAGGTAGGTAAAAGGGTCTGCACACTGACAATTACCCTACAGTACACCTGTTTGGGTTATGACAAACTTTGAAGGAGAATTCAGGCTGGACAATTCAAAACTTCAGGACAGAACACTTTAATTTGTTTTATTCATTCAAAAGATTGTTTAAAAAACCCATAGAAGTCACCTTTTTATTGTTGTATTTATTAAGAGATATGTATTACTTACAAAAAAGCCACCACACAAATAGGATTTGTAGAATATGATGGTGGACATTTAAGAGATTATACAGTGTTTAAAATCTGTTCACCTTCAATAGTTGCATAGTCTGTTTAACACTCATCGACAGCATGTTTCTGCAGAATAATTACAACTTACTAATTATATTACGTTTTGGTTTTTTTTTAAATGCAACTTGCTGCCACAAGATAGTGACATCAAAACTAAAGACAGATATTCAACATGCTCATGGAGCTGCCATCCCACTTCATTCAGAAAGTTGGAGCAAGTGAAGGAGAGAGTTAAAAATCACATTGAGTTCTTTTCTCCACCAGAATACTAGCATTGATGTTTGCATTCTAAAAGCTGTCTGTGTCTACTTAAAGGAAAAGCCAGATGACCTATTAAAGAAATTCTTGGTAAGTTGGAAAAGGAACTGTTGGCAGTCACAACGACATATTTTCATGTAAATGCTCCACATTTATATTTTATTCTTCATAGACTGTAAACAGATACTTCTCATTTTTTCTTCACCTCAGCGTAGAGTTCCTCTTGGCCATTAACTCTCTGTGTTAAGCTGTTTTCTGGCTTGTTGACTTTCACCTGTGCGTACACCGTACCCTGCTGCTGCCCTCTGTCCTGCATTGAGTCAGAGGATGCTTCATATCCCAGCTTAGAGAAGCTGACCTCTCCATAATGGATGTTTTCTTCCTCTTTTTCTGTGTTATTTGCTGGCCCTTCAACAACCTGCTCTTCATGAGGTTGAATCTATTAAAAAAAACAAATAAGAAAATCTGTGATGTAGACCTGTTGAGTCCATTCTTAATCATGTTTTTAGAAATTTGAAATCATGTGACTGTGGCTGTTATAGAAATACAGAAGTAAATATTCATGGAAACAGGCAGGTAAAGTGATTGAACAAATTTAGTATCTTCTTACCTGAGTGTGTTGTATAGTTTGACGCATTGACTTTAAGCACCTGGACATAAGAGGCAATAAAATAAAATATTTTTATACTAAATATATGTATGAGTAAATCTAAGCTTGGTGGGGGAAAAAACACATTTTATTGTGCAGCTAAAATATGAGTGACAAAATATCATGTTTCCTACTGTCATGTGTGATACTTGCCAAAGAAATATTGTCAAGAAAATTAGTAAGATGGTCCCAGTGATTCCTCCAAGAACTAGTCCCAGTGTGAAGTGATCATTCTGCTCTCCTGGTACAAGATAAATATGAAACACCATGTGAGTCAAACATTGTATAATAATCTAGACACAGAAAGACAGCCATTGCTAAAGTTTTTTCACATCCTCTTTAAATTTCAGTGTAGCAATGTAACTGAGAAATAAGTAAAAGCATCCAGTCAAGAAGAAAAGGGCGCCAAGGTCTGTGCCTATAGACTGTGTTGCTTTTGATGGGAACCCAAATATAGACAAAACGAGGTGTGGAAACAAACTTAAATTTAACCAAGGGTGAGACGTTTGTTTAGGCTTAACACAAGAACACAAACTAAAGAGAAAACTAGAACACAAAAGTAACCTAAACTGGAAAACTACAAGGAACCTAGAAAACTATGAAACCTGGAGAGACAAGGAAAGACAAGAATGAGTGACAACTTACAACATAAAAACAAAAGAGGGTGATGAGGGAAAAGGAAACAAACAGGGAACACGACCCTGTCAAAGTAAAACAGGAAACACTAAGGTGCAGACTTAAAACACGTGGCCAGACACCGGGCCAGGAGGAAGGAACACACAGGGGAACGAGACAGACTGGGGAAAGAGGGAAACATGGAAACAATTAAGAAAGACAAGACACAAGGAGTGTGTGTGTGTGAGAGAGAGAGAGAGAGAGTGAGGAAGGGAGTGAGTGACACTGAGGGAGAGAGAGACAAGATGGGCTGGGGAGAAGAAATATGATGCAGGAGACAGGGGAGACATGAAATATGAGGAGTATGTGGGAACAGGAAAGAGAGACCCAAAGGGGAACACCTACAAGAGAGAGAAACATACATGAACGGGAAGACAAATTTTCACAGGATGCAGGGATGATGGAAACGCAAAAGGAGCCTAACACAAGAAAGCATAACACAGGCAAACACGAAAATTTCAGACACAGAGTCAACTAAACTTTAGGATGACTGTAACACTAAATCGTAACCTGTCTTAAAAATGCAAAAGTCACAAAACCCCAATAACCTCAAAGCTAAAAAATAGAAAACTAAAACATGACAACACAAAGAAATCACAAATCACAATAAAATCAAAATGACTCAGAGCCATGACAAAAGAGGAGAAAAGCAAGTCATCGGTTCTTAACAGCTCTGTTAAGAAAGAAAAACAAAAACAAAATAAGGGAAAACAAAAATAAATAAACAAAGAGAAGACAACATTACCTAAAGAAATAATAACAATAATAATAATAATAATAATAATAATAATAAGTAAGACAATTTAAGGTGAATAAATATTTTCAAGTCTAACGCATGAACAACCACACATTATAGGATAAAGTACAAGATTTGAACTTCATCAAGCTAAATGTACTTCCTTCTCAACTCAATTTTAATGAATACGTCAAAAAATTATTAAAAAAACAGCTTATGAAACTTAGTGCTGAGTAATTTTACCTGCAACAGTCATATGAATCTCTGTTGATGTCTGATTACCCAGATCATTAGTGGCCACACAGTAATAAACTCCTCCATCTGTTACATTGAAGCTGTAAATCTCTCCTTCAGATACTTTCACAGCTCCATCTCTGCTCTTCTTGAACCAGGTGAAGTTGCTGACTGGAGGTTTGGCTCTGCTGGAGCAGGTCAGCTTCACCCAGCTGCCTGCTGACATCAAACCTGATGGACTGATGGATGCTGAGGTGTCTTGAGGAGCATCTGGAGAAACAAAAATGGAAAGAATTATCCCATAAATCATGTTGGTCTCCTCAAACTTTCACACGTGTCCCTGCTGCTAGACACCTGAATAAAATTAGTAGGTCATTAGCAAGACTTGACTGAATGCTGAGGTGGCAATCCCAACCCAACTCAAGTAAATTTAAGTAAATGTCAGTGCTTGGAAAAATGTACTTCTAAAAGTAATTTTATTGCACCATGTTCATTCACTCATGTGCTGCTGTAACATGAAACAAATGGCTGAATCGCCACCTCAGCATGCAGTCAAGTTCCACATAGTCTTGCAAATGACCTACTAATTTGATTCAGGTGTGTTGCATCAGGGATACGTGGAAAGGTTTCAGGACACCAGCCCTCCGGGACTGCAGTTTGACACGTGTGTGTTCAACAACAAACTCTGATTGTCTTACATGAAACATTGAGAGTCTCTTCTGTCTCTGCTGTCTTGGTGTCTTTTCCTTGGTTCACAGGATATCTGGCAGAGCAGCTGATCTTCTTTCCATCATGTGTGTCTGACAGAGTGATGTTCTGCTGGATTTTAGTTGTAAAGCTTCCATCTGTGTTTTCCTCTATTTTGTTGTGAGAGTCTTGTTGAAGATTCCAGGTGAGTTGAGGAGGGGAGTGTGGACAGGGAGTGAGAGCTGAGCAGGTTATAGTGACAGACTCCTTCTCCTTCAGATCACCTGAGATTGTAATATTGGGCCTCCAAGGAGAATCTGTGGTTTCACATAAAATCACACTGCTCTTTGCACCACTGATTAAAATCTGCAAACCTAATGCTTTCAAAACCTGTTCTAAATTCATACTTTGATTTATAAATGTAATCAAGTCTTGAACATAAAAGTGGAGCAGACGTTATAATAAGAAACAATTTTCTGAGTGTCATGCTGGGACAATCATTACAACTTTAATACAAGATTTGCTCAAGTGATATTGATTATATTCAAAAAATAGATCAAAGACTAGATAGTCAGTACTAAATGTTAGTTTAATGTTAATGTGATACATAAACAAAAAATAAACAAACAAACATACTATTACCTGTGACTGTTATTTGAAGAGGATCACAAGCTGCTGTTGCCTTGAATGTTTCACTCTCTACTCTGAAGAAGTATTTGTTTGTGTATGTGGTGGTTAAATTAGTAAACAGAGTGGTGCAGTCTCCCTGACTCAGGTTCCCAGTAATACTTATTGGATAGATGCTAACTGCTCCACTACTGTTGAAGAGCACATTGTTTGCCTCGTTGGCAAATTCGAGATTATTTTTAATCCACACTCCAAAAATTTCACTTTTGCTGTTAAATTTCTGTTCTTCTTTGGGTCTGAACCTACATGGGATTTGCAAACAAGATCCACTCAGTGCTTCCAGCTGCTTTGGTGCAGTTATGAAAAGGTCTGCTTTATAGGAATAACCAGCCAAAGCACCTGTAAATACAATTTAATGATTAATCCATTCACATATCAGTATTAAACAAAATAACTACATGTTTTTCTACTCCCAAACAAAACTCTCATCTCTGATTAAACTATTTGCTACACTTTAGTTAGCGTGAAATTTTTTTTTGCATATTTCCATTTTAAATTAAACATTTAGCTGATATTCCAGAGATGGTAGGAACATTTCCACCACCATCTGCTGTTTGGATGTAAGATGGAAATCTTCATAATCAGAGTTTCAAAAACTGTCTAGTGTAATGCTTGAAAGTGCCACCAAAGTTTTTTGTTCCTTAGGTGTTAACATTTTGTACAAAAACATTTTAATTTAAAGTCAGTACAAAAAGTAGGTCTATGTTCACTCTGTTAGTAAATGAAGTTTACGTTGTAAAATAACTCCAATAATGACTTTGAAATACCAAGCTTTTAGCCAAATATAAGCAGAGATATTTGTATCTTTCTTAAAAATCCAGATCCTTACAGATTATTTGAGAAATGGATCAACAGCTATCACTACTTGAAGCACTTTAAGTCCTGCAGTGGAAAAATATCCCTTATTTCACCTTTGATCACACACTTTGGTTTTCCAGTGCAGAGCAATGGCCAAGAAAAGGAAAGACTTCCCCGAGTGGAAAAAAAAGATGAAGATACAAGCTGGTGATGATCCAGAGCAGCTGGTCTCAGGAAATGAAGAAAAACCCTGATCACCTTCTCTACAAACACAAGGTGAGTTTAATGTTGTGGTTGATTTAGTTTTTCAAGGTATGTATGTTACTTTAATTATAAACTGCTTTTGTTGCAACAGAATGGTGTTATGTGTATGCAACTCTACGTGAATTATAATCCTTTGTAGGGCTGCGTGATATGACCAAAATCTCATATCCCAATATAAGACGTATCTCTCCTGATAACGATATATATCACAAAATAGTGCATTTTCTGTAAATTCTGTGATTCTCGGGCAACTCGACTTATGTGAAATGTTTTCAGTTGGGCGTCGTGTACCTGGAGTCGAGTGTTTTGACCGATGCATGAAACTATACATTTATACTATACGTTTAAATGGCCGCCATTTTCTTTCTGAGTATTTATTACACGGCGTGCTGCAAGGAAAAGCCTGTTCTAACGTTTGAGTCTAAGGATTATTTTGAGCACCTGACGACTCTTTTTTGCTTTTCATTCGTAAACTCTCTCGAAACTCTTTCATGTGATTCTTGTGTAGGTGGTTAAAGAGGTTTGTCGTGTTCGAGTGGTGGTGGGGACCAGTTTGTTGCATAATTTGCA